GAAGGCTTGCTCAGGGTTCCCATTGGCAGAGGGGACGGGGGAGTCACGGTCTGCATGGCCCTTCTATCGACCTCCCACCTGTTCTCCTCCTCGCCGCCGGCCAGGGCGAGGCCGGCCTTCGGTCCCACCGGCTGCAGGGCCCCTCCGCCGCCCTCAGACTGTGTAGAGGAGCGAGCCCCTGCCGGTGGCGGTTCCGGTCGTCGGGGGAAGCAGCGTCCCTGGGGGGAGAAGGGGGCCACAGACCCCATGTCTCCCCCAGGAGAGCAGGTGTGTGGCGGAGAACGTGGCCGGGCCCGGCGGGGGGCAGGGCCTCCCTCCTGAAGAAACCAGCTGAGTGGGCGGCCTCTCCTGGGGGCCTCCCCCCCCCCGCAGAATCCCAACTGCCGCTGCAGCCCAACTGGCGAAGATCACCCTGCTGGACTCCGGCCTGCCCAGCAGTGGTGAGGGGCTGCGGGGCCCCGGGGGGGGTCTGCCCGCCCCAGCCACTCCGGGTCAGCGACGCCAGGGCCCCGAACCTGGAGGGGCACCCATTGCCCCCCAGCCCAGAAGGGCCCCCGAGCAGCAACCCCTGTCCCCGGGCCCCTCGCCGTGCAGCCCTTCTAGGCGGGAGCCCCGAACCCTCCCGGCCCAGCCTGAGTCGGTGGGCGCCACGGGCCACCCTTGCAGCAGGCGAAGGCTGGGGAGGCAGCGCGGGGGTGGGTGAGGGCGGCACCTCCCGCTCGCCCGGCCAGGTGCCCCCGCCCCCCCTTTACTCGTGGCCCCTCGTGGCGGGCTCCTCACCGAGCCCCGTGCGACTCCGCTCTGCGCAGGCTCCCGCGGCCCACGATGACGTCCCGCTGCCCGGAGGAAAACATTTACAATCTGCTGCCCCGCAAAGAGGAAGAGGAAGAGCCGGTCAGACACGGACGGTAGGGGGGGGGGCGCTTCGGCGCTCAGCCAGGCCCCTTCTCGGGGAGGCAGATCCATGCGTGCGACCCTTCAGGTTTCCTCGGGGGTCTCCTTTCCCAGCTTCTCAGACCGCCCCTGACCCAAACGCTTCTCCCTGGGGAAGCAGCCGTCCCGGAGCTCTTTGTCTCATCCAAAGAGCGATGGCAGGTTTTCCGGTTTGCCTCCAAAACTAGCCAGCAAAGCAGCTGCATTTCTGACCCACCCAGGGACCCGTCAGTGGGGGGGGGGGAGTGCAAGTCCAGCAAGCGAGCCAGCCTGGGGTCCTTGGGAGGGCCCCCCAAGCAGCAGAGAAGGAGCGGGTCCCCGTTCCGCAGCTCCCCCACGCCTGCCGGGGGCACGGTCCTCTGGACCCCCCCAAGTGGCTGGGCCCCCGGGCTTCCAGAGGACTGGCTCTGCTGACCGGCCGCAGCCCCCGTGGCAGCCACAGAAAGCTCACCTCCCCACACTGGCCAGCAGGCCCACGAGGCCCTCCAGGGCCCCACCTCCGCCCCGGGCCAGCTTGCGTTTCCCGGGGTGCTGGCGCGCCAAGCACTGCGATTCCAGAGAGCAAGGCACCGGGCAGCGAGGGGGAGGCCCGGCTCAGCTTCTATTCAAGCTAAGAGAGCTTGGCACAGCGGGGGGGGGGGGGGGGCTGGCATCACCATCGTTTTGAGCTGGGAAAAGTTATGTTCCGAGTGCAATTGAGCACATTCCATCAATAAGAGGCCAGCCTGGGGGGCCCTGAGGACGGGGGGGCAGCTTACGGTGCAGCCCCCCCCCCCCAGCTCTCTAAAGAATTGGAGTCGGAGCCAGAGCTCTGGCGATTTCGGCCAGCCCCGTGCTATAAAAGTCACCCCTTCCCTGTACCTGCGCCAGGCCAGGAGCCTTCTGCTGAGGGAACGTCGCAGCGACTCCTCCGCTTGCTCTGGAGGTAAAAACTGGGGCACGGCGCTGCGTCTCCCCCGGGGGAGTCTCCTCCCGAGTTGTAAGCGTCCCCCCCCATTTTTCCGTGCGTTGCAGGTACGTCTCGGTGTTCAGACCGTTAGTGCGACGCGAGATACGAGAGAAGACAACGGCACCCTGCCAGACGATGGGCGTCCCCAAGCTCCAGGTCCCCACGCCAAGGAGCTTCCTCCGGAAACATTCGAGGGAGCCAAAGCTCCCGCAGCGTAAGCAGCCCTCCTGGCAGCCTTCCCCACCTGGGGGCAGCGAGGGCAGAGCCCCTCGGGAAAGATCCCGCGCGCATCCACGCCCCCGCGGGTGCCACGCTGCCCTGAGAGAGCGTGGCGGGTGGGCTGCACCGAGCCGGCCGGCCACTGCACTGACTGCTCCCCCCGAGCGCTCCCGATGGGGGGCCACGGGGGGGCGCATTTCGCCTGCTTTGTCGGATCTCAGCTGGTGGGGGCTGGAGGCCCGCAGCACACGTGGGAGGGGGGTGCCTGCAGCTGAGCCTGCTGGCCAGGAAGCGATCCTAGCAGTCTTGAGAGGTGCAGCCAGCCCTTTTCTCCGGCGTGTCTGACAATCCCAACGCCAAAGACTCTCTTCCTCGGAGCCGTGAGGTTATTTCAACAGGACGCCAAGAATGGACGAGCGCAGAGTCGAATGCGTTTGAGCCGCCCTCCTCTCGGGCTTCCTGCTGTGCTCCTGATACCGGCTCGTGACCTACTGGTACAGTCCTACCCATGCCCTGCTGAACCCAGTGGGGCCATCCCAGGAAATGGTGCACGGTGCTGCAGAACGAGACCGCGCTCCCGCATCCCCCGAGCCCCACGGAGGTCGGGGGCTTCCGGGCAATCCTGCTGCAGGCTCAGCTTCGCTGCCAGAGGCTGGGCGTCGTGGCCTGAGGGCCCCGGATGGTCTGCCTGCGGTTTGAAGCGCGTGCACCTCGCTTTCCCGTTGAAATGAATTCCCACCCAAGTGCAGAACCACCAGATGAAAGTATTTGAAAAAGCAACGCGAGGACTGCGCTGGGTCCGGAAACCAGCTGTAAGCCCATGAAATGGGATCAGGACCGCCATCGGCCCTTCTCAGCAGCTCCTGCTGCTATTGCTGAACTCGCACTCTTCAGAAAGCCCCCGAGGGCGCCTGGGGCATGCGCCCTCCCCCCCAAGGCACACTCACTCAGCCAAAGCCCGCGCTTTTGCAGGAGAGCTGCCAGGGCCATGCCAGGTGTGCAGTCGGCGGGCCGTGACCTCACCAGAGGGACCCACGGGGGCCTCCGAAGTGGGCAGCACGCCCGGCTGGCCCTCATTTAAGAGCCAGCCTGGCCCTGGCGTTCATGGCCTGGCCGCCCCGGGAGCCCTCAGCGGTTCGCGGGAGGTTCCTGCCGGCACGCACAGGAGCACAGCAGCAGCCTCAGAGGTCGTGCTGGAGCGGGGGGACGCAGGGCTGCCTTGCCGTCCCGCCCACCTCCCCCGCCTCGGGGCCGCCTGGCTGCTGCCCAGGGGCTGCTGGGAGCAAGCAGAGCACAGCGGGTCCAGTTCGGGCCTCGGGTCTCTCCAGGGACGCTCTGTGCCGGGAGCTGCAGCGGAGCCCCTCTGGCTGAGACGGGGGGCAAACGCTCCTTCTCCGGCGCGCGGTGCTCTCCCCGGGAAGAACCTCCCAGCAGCCCTCCTTCCTCTGGGCAGGAGGAAGGGCAGCTGCTGCTCCTCGCCATGCCTGCAGAGCCGGCGCCGTGGCTGCAGAACCACGAGGCAGCGTGGCCTGCAGGCCTGAGTGCCCGGAATGACCAGGGAAGCCAGGAAGCGGGACGGGGGACCGCCGGCACTTCCGGAGCAAGGTGGCCAGTGGAAAGGGCCGCTTTAACGCGTGTCTGCTTCTCGAGATGTTGTTCAGAGTGACCAAAGCTTTACCGCCATGTGCTTTCTGCAAACATGCCACAGAAAGAAGGGATCTGGGAGACAAGGTGGTCCTGAAACCTCATGTGCCGAAAAGGACAGAGCACCCCATCATGGGTCTTCGATGCGAGAAGGATTTCATCACGGCCAACGTCGCCGAGGCCATGATGTCGGTGGCCAAGAGGCCGCTCCGCGCTTGTGTGGACGTGCGCACGGGGGACAAGTTTCTCGTGGACGACTCCGGCCTCGTGAAAAAGTACCTCAAGAAAAAGGTCTGTTTCACAAGACAGTGTTTCAAATGGTGGAGCTCATGGGGAAACCAATGTTTGGCTTGTGTCTGTAAATGAAGGCAACCCTACGGCTCCTCATTAATTGAGGCAGCCAGTGATGTTTCCCCATTTTCGTATCGGGTGACTAACTGGCTAATCCTGGGCATTTCTCACCCCTGTGGGAGGACTGCGTGGGCCGGGGGAGCCTGCCAGGCGAGGGGGTTCTTGGCACACCGGGCACTGGGGGCAGGCAGCGCGGCTGGCATGTGTGGCCCCGGGTCTGCCAGGGCTCGCAGCCGAACGTGCTCCTGGCCAGGGGCCCGGGAAGGCCAGCCGCACCTGCGTAAGAGGGAGGGGTCTTCTGGATCGGACAGGAGAGCCCTCGCATCCAGCACAGGGCGGCCAGGTTGATAGCCCCTGGGAAGTGCACCGGCACCCCCCCCCACTCGAGTTCCCACACACGGAAACCTGCCTCTGGGCTGGGGGTGGCGAGGGCCCCCCCACGGGGGAGGCTGAACCTTCCGGGGTCCCCCTTTAGAGCCCCTGCACGGCTGGCCAGCACATCGTGAGAGGCGAGTTCCAGGCTTTGGCGCTGCGCCCTGCGGTGAAGCCCCTCCTCGGACCCCTGAAGCGCCTGCCCAAGCTTCCCATCCCAGTTCATTCAGGCGCTGGAGGGGGAAGAGCCACCTAAAAGCGCTGCCGAGGCCGTGGCCGGAGCCAGAGGGCCCCAGGGGTCGCCCTGCCAGCCCACCTGCAGGCTGCCCGGAGGGGGTGTCGCGAGCGCCGAGCCCGCCTTGCGCAGGAGCCCATGCCCCGCACGTGGCCCCGCTCCGACCGCACAAGCGAGGCCTCCGCCGGGTTGTCAGTTCACGCTTTGGCGCAGGGTCTCCTCTGGAAAGGCCGGGGGAAGCGGCAGTGGAGGGGTGGCCATTCCCGTCACCACCGTGGCGATTTTGGATTTTGTGATGCTGGCCGCTGGGCGGGACGGGGACGCGCCGGGCGGTCCCCGCAGGCGTCCGGGTGTCCTTGTCTCGCAGGATTTTGGCAAGACGCCGAGCTACATTAAAAAGCGAAAGGCGGAGGCGAGGGAAGCGCAGGAGGCGGCGGCCGCCCGCCTGGAGCAGCACCGCGCGCGGAAGGGCCTGACGCGGCTCTCCCGGGAGGAGCGCGAGCGCGTCCTGCAGGTGGGTCCGGCGCGGGGCCGGGGCGGCGGGGGCGCGCGCGGCGCCCCACGCGGGGACCTGCATGCGCACGCGCCCCGCGGGAGAGGCGGCCGGACCGAGCCGCTGCCCGGCAGCTTCTCCCTCCGCGCCTGGCCGAAGCCCCTGGCCCACCGCCTAGCGGCTTCTGCGGCGCCCCCTCCGCTCCCCCTCGGGCTAGTCCTGCCGGCGCGGCTTCTGCGGGGCTCTCTCGGGGCCTTCGGGAAAGCTGGCCGTGGCGGAAGCGCCCCCTACCCTTCGGCGCCACGGGATGCGGGACGCGTCGCCCCACTGATCGCTGGCGTTCCTGTGTATCCGCGCTGCTCCTGTGAGGAGCCTGGGGGCCCGCGCCGCGCCATCGCGCCCTCCCAGCAACAGCCCTGCGAGGCGGGCGGCCAAGAGCGGGGGGCTGGCCCGGCGCCCCCCACAGAGCCGCCTGGCCGAGGGGCGACTAGAGCCGGCTCCCCCGTCGCCGCCCAACTCCCTCTGCGGCAGCACCGCCTTTCCTGGGCCGATCAGCCGTTCCCGGGTGGCGAAAAGGCTCCCTCGCCGCTTCCCCTCGCAGGGCCTCAAGCAGAGCTGGGAGCAGGTCAACCGGGCGTTCCAGGGCCTCTCCGTGGTGGTCGACACGGTGCCCCGGAGGCTCCGCAAGGAGAAGATGGAGGCGCAGATGCGGCAGCTGGAGCGCGACGTCCGCGCCCTGGAGAGGCACCCGGCCGTCTACGTGGCCGGCGAGTGAGGCGCCGGCGCCCAGGGGCCGAAGGCAGGGCCCGCTCCGGCACGGCGGCCCGCGTTGCGCGGGAGGCCCCCTGCGAGGCGGCCCCTTCCCCCCCGCGGGGCCGAGGAAGGGGCCCCTCCCGGACGCTGCTGCACTTCAGCGCACATCAGCCCATCCCGCCTGGCCAGGGACTGATGGGCGTCGGAGTCCAACAGCTCCTTGGCCTTCTGCCCCCTCCTCTGCTGCAGGGGAACAAACATGCCAAGGTGTCGGGGCACTTTGTGCTGCAAAACAACACAGCAGGTAATTTGAACAAGCATCTTAAGCGCCTGCACAAGCTTTGAATTTTCAAGCTCTGGAGAATTTATGATGTGCCTCGTTTTGTTCTGAAATAAATCCCCAGAATTGTTGTGTTCACAGTTTAGTTGCATGTGCAGGTTTTAGAAGCCCCGTGGCCACCGTTGTGCATGATAATTATTGCTGTTTTAAGAATTGTTTATTAGTACTGGTAGTGGTATTATTAATAAAATTAATAACTAGTATTAACCAATCAACTCTCATCCTTTCACGTGTCATGAGCACATGCCCACAGTCGCCCTGTTTAAAAACAGTCCCTGTGCAGCTCCAGGTTTTTGGGATTGGAGTATCTGGACTTGTTCTGACAATTGTATTTTAGCCCGTTTCAATAGTTGGTGTGTGAGCCATTCAGGGAGTCCTTTGAATACTGAGTTGTGTAGGAAGACCACTGAATCAGAACAGCCGTGGAGACAAGGTCGCCACCCCAGTGAAGGCCGGAGGTTTATTTGGGGGAATCGTGTCCCAAAGGCTCCCTGGCCGCCCAGCCTCTCAGGGGCAGCCTCCTCGGCGTGGCCGGTGCCTGGTGAGGCAGTCGCGGCCTCGCAGTGCAGGCGAGGGGAGAGCCGTGCGGTTCGGCGCATGGGGGGGGCCGTGAGCGCTTGCCCCACAGTGGGGCCCCCCAGCAGGGACCCGGGGGCGGGGCGGGGCCCTGGAGCGTGTCTTGGGGCTGTGGGACTTGGTGGGCAGCTGAGCCGGGGCCGCAGGATCAGGGGGGCAGCTGGAACTTCACGTCCAGCTGGGCTTCCTTGGCCAGGGTCATTATTTCGGAGAGCTTCACGGCCATCTTGGCCGCCTTGTCCAAGTCGTCGCAGGGGAGGATCCTCAGGCCACTCTCGGCGATCAGCCGCTTGGCGTCCTCCACTCGGGTCCCCTGCAGCCGCACCACCACGGGGATCCGCAGCTCCAGATCCGTTGCGGACATGATGATGCCGTGCGCGATGACGTCGCACCTCATCAGTCCCCCAAAGATGTTCACCAGGATGGCCTGGACGCTCTCGTTCGACGTGATCAGCCGGAAGGCCTCTGTCACCTGCTCCACCGTGGCGCCGCCCCCGACGTTCAGGTAGTTGGCCGGCGTGCCCCCGTGGAGCTGGATGATGTCCATGGTGGCCATGGCCAGGCCGGCCCCGTTGACCAGGCAGCCGATGTTGCCGTCCAGCGCGATGTAGTTGAGCTCGGCCCGGGCCGCCTGCCGGTCCTGCTCGTCCTCCTGGCTCCAGTCCTGCAGTTCGAAGAGCCGCTTCTGGCGAAAGGCCGAATTGCTGTCGAAAATGATCTTTGCGTCCATGCACATCACCGCCCCCGTGGAATCCTCGGCCATGGGGTTGATCTCCACCAAGATGGCGTCGTGCTCGATGAAGAAGTTGTAGAGCTTAATCATGTTGGCAGCTGCGTCGCGCGCCACCTTCGCGGGGAACCCCATTTTCCGGGCCAGCCCCAGGGCCTGCTCCTCCTGGATGCCGTCCACGATGTCCACCGGCTCCTTCGCGATCGCCTCGGGCTCCTCGGCGGCCACGTCCTCGATGCGGACGCCGCCCCGGGAGCTGCCGATGAGCACCGGGCCCTGGAACGGCCTCTCCATGGCGATGGCGAAGTAGCTCTCCCGCCGGAGGTACCTGCGCTCACAGACCAGGACCTGGTTGCAGATGCGGCCCTTTTCCCCCGTCTGCCTGGTGAAGAGCCGTCTCCCGATCATTCCGGATGCCACCTCCTGGGCTTCCTCCGGGGAATACACGATCTGCACTCCCCCTTTCAGGCCCCCCTCGAAGATGCCCTTTTCCCGGCCCCCCGTCAGCACCTGGGCCTTCACCACCAGGTCGTTGGTGCCGATCTCCCTTGCCACCTTGAACGCCTCCTCTGGAGTCCGGGCGACCAACCCAAAGGGCACCGACACCCCGGCTTCCCTCAGGAGCTTCATGCTCAGGTACTCGTGCAGCGACAGGTCCCGCAGCTGCTGCTGCAGCAACGGGACCCCCTGGGAGGTATAGTAGCCCCGCCGGGCCCCAAGGATGTGGGCTGCGGCGGCCAGGGCTGCTCGGCAGCTGCCTCTTCCAGCCAGTCTGGCCACGCTGGCTGCCCGCTGGCAGATCATGGGGCCGGCCACCCACCCTCTTCCCACGCTCGCCCTCCCAGGGCGTCCCCTGCGGACCGTCCCGCTGCCTCGTGGGAGGCCGGTCCGCAAGGTTCTCTCCCAGGTGTTCCCAGGCGACGTCCCTGCACGGCTCTGTGACATCACCGGCCCGGCCTGCCCCCCCCCGGCCCGCCCCGCCCCTCAGCCACCTGCCGCACAGCAGGAGTGTGCCACGGCCCGTCACTCTCACAGCGCTCCGCGGCGTGCTTAGATGACCCTCTCACTGCACTTCTGCTCTTGAGAGCAATTTGTGTGGGGCAGAGAAGGGGAAACCGAGTGTTGCCCCTATTTGTGAAAGAAAGCAAATTGTCTCACTTGCATGAGTGCGCTATTCCACTGCAGCACAGCGCCATCTAGTGGTTATGCCATGAGAAAGCGGGACAATGACAAGAGTTGAAGATAGGAGAAGGCCCAAAAACAGAAACATGGACACTGAGTGAGGCAGAAGGGGTCTCCGGGGCCATCTAGTCTGACCCCCGGCTCCGCTCACGACACGCCCACCATGCGCATGCCCAGCCTGTCCTTGAGCACCCTCACGATGGGGCCTCCGCCACCTCCCATGGAAGCCCCTTCCACGCCCTCGGGGTCCTCACTGTGAGGAAGCGCTTCTGGCATCCAAGCTGAACCTGGGTTCGCTGCGCTTGGCTCCGTTGGAGCGCGTCCTGCCTTCCTCTGCAGGGAGAACAGGCCTCCACCCAGGACTGACAGCAGCTCAAGGGGTCTTTTGCTGAAGGGGCAGTAGAATGCGTGGCCCAAGGGAACGCCACCTCTGCTCCCCTCCTCCAAATACTGGGCTTTATTGTGTTGGGAAACGCAGCCTGCTCTGGCAGCCCTCCCTCCGCCCACCGCCCCCATAGAACGGGGCATGTCAGCAACAGCCATGCCGACCCTGGGGCTACGCGAGGCCCCCGGGAAGCCCGCAGCCGGGCGCTGCCACGTCCCAAGGCACCGAAGCAGCCCAGCCTCAGCTCCGGATGGCTCCCCCTGCGGCGCTCTGGTTCTGGCCGCAGGACGCCGGCAAGCGCACCCGCCGCGCGAAGGACTCTGTGGGAGCAGCGCCAGGGACACTCCTCACGGGCCACCCGGAGCCAGGGACACCGCATGCCCGCTCAGCGCCCCGCCCCACACGCGCCCCCCCCCGGGAAAAGCAACCCCCCCTTCAGCTTTACATGCAAGTAGGCAAAGAATTGGTGAAGGTGCCAAGGAGGCCCTGGGGGCGTCTGCATTTTCTCTACCCCCTAAATCTTTTTACACATCTTACTAAAACCCAATTTACTTCGTTTGTTTATTTTTATACCACCCAACAGCCTGGGCTCTCTGGGTGGCCATGACAAGCCACAATTCAACAAAAGTTTACAAGACATGAGCCCAAAATTTAAAAGAACAAAACCATAATAGCAATTGCAACTGAATCGGTGTAGAAGCATAGCAGCGGTACAGAATAAAATAGGATATTAAAACAAAGTTTAAAGTTACACTATTAAAATACTGGGAAAATAAAAAGCGCTTCGCCTCGCACCGAAACGCATTCAGAGCAGCCTGGGAACCCCTCTTTGAGGCGCGCTTTCAAAACACGCTCCTTGCAAAGAAGTGAACTTCTCCTCCACACTTTGGGACTCCCCCAAGAACCTTCCGGCTGCTCTTGCCACGGCAGAAGGGGCTGTTGCTGCTGCTCCCCCCAGCCCCCTCGCCCCCAACCGCGCCACCACCTCGCTGGCCGCCCATCCTGGCAGCCTTTTGGAAGGGAGAAGTGGGGGCTTTCCTTCCCTCACGGATCTGGTTGCAGCCAGCCTGTTTCCAGCAGGAACTTGCGGCGGCTCAGGCCGTAAAAGGAAACTGCGTGGGCCGCGCAGAACGGGTCGGAAGACGGGGCTCCCTCCGCCCAGCGGTCCTTCGCGGACTCGGAACTTGCTCCCGGGCACTCCCTGCCTCTGCGGGCAGCCCCGGCACCGCCTGGCAGCCAGCAACGGGCCGCCTCGGCGCATGCGCCCTCTCGGCAAGGAGACGGCAGCCGTTCCGGGGCCGGAAGGGCAGCGCCCCCCTGCTCCCCCGCCCTGTGGGTGCCGGAGGCTCGGTGGGAGCAGGCGGAGGGCCGAGCATAGGGGGGTCCGCTGCGACTGTCCCCGCCTGCGTTTCACCAGCCCGTCGTCCGGCCCTCTGCACCCCAGCGCCCGGAGGAGTGCCCACGAGGGGCCTGCCCACGCGAAAGGCGCCCTGGCCCAGCAGCCCCCCAGGCCCCCCCACGTGCAGGGAGCCCCCCGGGCCCCGCCCACGGAACCTTCGCCGGCCAATGGGGAGGCGGCGAGCGGCCGTTGGAGGGCGGTTGGAGCCGCGAGGGGGGCGAAGGCCCGGCTCCATGATGGGCGCCTGGGCAGCAGGGGTGGCGAGGCTGGTGGGGCGAGGGGGCCGTTGGGCAGCCCTCCGCACGGCCGCGGGGCAGCAGCGAAGGAGCCTGTCGCTGCACGAATACCTGAGCATGAACCTGCTGCGGGAGGCGGGCGTTGCCGTGCCGGAGGGGCAGGTGGCCAGGACGCCCGAGGACGCGTACCGAGCCGCCCGGGAGCTGGGGTCGGAGGAGGTGGTGGTCAAAGCGCAGGTCCTGGCCGGCGGGCGGGGAAAGGGCACCTTCGAAGGGGGCCTCCGAGGAGGAGTGAAAATCGTGTCTTCCCCCGAAGAGGCCCGGGACGTGGCCTCCCGGATGATCGGGAGGCGGCTGTTCACCAGGCAGACGGGGGAAAAGGGCCGCATCTGCCACCAGGTCCTGGTCTGTGAGCGCAGCTACCCGAGAAAGGAGTACTACTTCGCCATCGCCATGGAGGGCGCCTTCCAGGGCCCGGTGCTCATCGGCAGCTCCCAGGGTGGCGTCCACATCGAGGACGTGGCCGCCGAGGAGCCCGAGGCGATCGCGAAGGAGCCGGTGGACATCATGGACGGCATCCGGGAGGAGCAGGCCCTGGGGCTGGCCCGGAAAATGGGGTTCCCCGCGAAGGTGGCGCGCGAAGCCGCCGAGAACATCGTGAAGCTCTACAACCTCTTCATTAAATACGACGCCCTCCTGGTCGAGATCAACCCCATGGTGGAGGACTCAGCAGGGAAAGTGACGTGCGTGGACGCAAAGTTGAACTTCGACAGCAATTCGGCCTTTCGCCAGAAGCAGCTCTTCGAACTGCAGGACTGGAGCCAGGAGGACGAGCAGGACTGGCAGGCGGCCCGGGCCGAGCTCAACTACATTGCCCTGGACGGCAACATCGGCTGCCTGGTCAACGGGGCCGGCCTGGCCATGGCCACCATGGACATCATCCAGCTCCACGGGGGCACGCCGGCCAACTTCCTGGACGTGGGGGGTGGCGCCACGACGGAGCAGGTGAAGGAGGCCTTCCGGCTGATCACGTCGAACGAGCGGGTCCGGGCCATCCTGGTGAACATCTTTGGAGGCATTATGCGCTGCGACACCATCGCGCAGGGAATCCTTCTGGCAGCAACGGAGCTGGGGCTGCGGACCCCCATGGTGGTGCGGCTGCAGGGGACCCGAGTGCAGGAGGCCAAGCGGCTGATCGCCGAGAGCGGCCTGGGGACCCTCCCCTGCGACGACTTGGACAAGGCGGCCAAGACGGCCGTGAAGCTCTCCGAAATAATGACCCTGGCCAAGGAAGCCCGGCTGGACGTGAAGTTCCAGCTGCCCCCCGACTGAGCTGGTGCTGCTCATGGGACCCCATCCCGCCCCTGCCTGGGCCCATTCCTGCGTGGAGGCGTCTCCCCCTCCACAGGCACCCGGTGCCCGGCTTCGGCTGGCCGCCTGTTTTCAGCACGGCTGCTCTTTCGGAAAAGCACCTCTGCTCACATTGGTCCTTTGCTGCAGCAAGAGGCCCGGAGCTGCACCAGGGAAGCTGCGCCCCGGAAGAGGCTGGAGCGGCCCCTGTATTTCCCGCAAATAAAAGCCTGACGCACACCGAGGGGCTGGCTGGCCGCCATGCTTGTGCGACTCGAGTCGTGAGCATCACTGCTCCTGCGGTCCAGCCTTGCACAGGCAGTTGTGCGAGGGCCCACGAAGTGCTGAAGGGGGGCTGGGCCCCGGGGGGCCCTCGTGCTGCAGCAAGGAAGCGCGTGGGGCTGCTCCAGACGCTGCGCCGGGGAGGGAAGTTTGCACCCAGGGCCGTCCGAACCGAGAAGCAGGCGAAGGCGGCTGCCACGCCGCTACGGAGCTCCCAGTGGCGCGCAGGATGCCGCGCTCCGGCGGTCGCGCACGGTCCGGTTCACAGCGCCCCCTGCCCGCACGCACAGGCAGCGCGTTCGCCCAAAGCGCGGGGGGCGGAGCGCTTCCCGCGCGCGCGCGTGGGGGGGGGAGGTCGCCTTTTAAGCGCTGCAGGCCCACGGGGAGCGCGAAGGTGCTTCGCCCCGACGGGGAGGAACCTCCCCCCCCGGACCCCCGGGAAGGCGCCGCTCCTCCGAGAGAACCCGAGGCGGCTTCCCCGCAGCACAAGCCCCGCGGCTCCTCGCTGCCTCTGCGTCCCCCGCTTGATGCAGGCGGTTTGCGGCCCCGTTAAGCGGGGGCGGAGTGGGCGCCCAGCGCTGCTCCCAGCGGGGCCCCGTTCGCGGGAGCGCCTGGCGCGGAGGGGGAACGTCGCGAATCGGGGCGCCGCCCCCCCCCCCGCCGGCACCGCTCCTCGGCAGGCCTGCCCCGACTGTGGCCCTGTTGGCCCTCACCAGCCGAGTTCCCAGGGGAGGAATGCTAAGCGCATTTACTCAGAAGTAAGGGCCACTGACCTGGGTGGCGCTTACTCCCAAGTAAGCATGAATAGGATTGTGCCTGTTGCGTTCTTCAGTTGGACAAGAATGCAAAGGCTGGAATCCTTGCAAAGTCGCCCGTTCATGGATCCAGGCGCCCACAGAAGGCGCTGACCCACTTGCTGCGCTCTGCGCCTGGCCAGCCCCCGGGCAACGCTCTGCTCCAGCTCCCCGAGGCCCTGGGGCGCGTGAGAGCGGAAGGGGCCAGGCGAGGCCTCGGGCTCGCCATCGCCATCGCCAGCCCTTCCCCTCTAAAGTTCGCTCCAGACGGCCTCCTCACTGGGCTCGCTCTCCGATCCGTCTTCGTAGACGGCCACGACTCGCGCGGCAGCGATGCTCCTCCTGGCGGATCTGGGGAGCCCCCACCACTCCACCCTCGCCCCCGTCCTGTGCTCCCACCACCTGCTCTCCGCCCGCTTCCTGTACTCCACCTTGTACTCCTTGATCACCACGCCCTCCGCCACGTCGACGGGGCTGCCCCACGTCAGTTGCACCTGGAAGCTGCAGCAGGAGGCCGCCTGCGCCCAGGTGGGCCTCCCTGGCGGGCTGGAACGCAGGCCGGTTCGCACCACCTCGCTGACCTCGCTGAACTGGCTGAGGCCTGACCTGCCTTCCACGGCGTACCTGAGTTCGTAGCTCGTCTGCGACTCCAGCCCTGCCACCAGGAGCTTCTCCTCCCTCCCCTTCACGTAGGCAAACATCCACTACTCCTCTCCAAAGACCCTGTACTGGACGTAATAGCCTGAGACCGCCTGTGTCCCAGCCTCGGCGGGCTTGAAGGTGAGCTCGAACCTGTCGTAGGAGATGGCATCGATCAGGGGCGGGGAGGGCCTGGGCAGAAGGTCCAGTCTGGTCCCGTCCAGGCAGCCGCTTTGGTACCGGACAAGCACAGCACCTGGATTGCCGTCATCGCGACGCGACGTCACCACGAAGCGGACCTCCCCGGGATAACAGCTGAGCGAAAAGTCGGCAAAGACCATGGCTGCGTTCCGGGCGCTTTCTAAAACATCTTTGTCCTCAAACCACGGAGTGAACTTCTTGTCCGCTTCTGTCAGGGCCTTGGGCTTTGGTTCAGAGCCGTGAGCCAAGCTGGCACTGAGCGTGTGCAGGTAGGGCTCCTTGGCTTCTAGCGAGGTGAATATGAACGCCACCACAGCATCGATGCGTGGGTCAAGCACCCGCCTCACCAGGTCGTCCTGCGAGGAGACCCTCCCCTTGGACAAGTCCAGGAAGAATTTCACAAAATAAATCTCGCGGTACCTCAGGTCCAGGAATTTCTTGAGCAGGGAGGTTCTGAACGGCGACTGCTCGTTCCCCCGCAGGATGTCCACCAGCGCCACTTCCTCCGCCCCCCCACCACGGATGGAGGGCAGCACCTGCGCCAGCCGCTTCTGGAAGGCGCACTTGTACTGCTCACACAAATGCTTGAACGCCCGGATTTTCTTCAGGATTTCCGGGAAGGTCGTGCTGATGGGGTCCTGGAGCAGGTCGTTGCACCGGACGTCCACCTCCATCAGCTTCTCCAGGGCCCTCTCGGTGTCGGAGACCAGCTTGGCGCTGACCTCGCGCACCAGCTTCGCCGCTCTGGAGTGCAGCCGGATGAGCGGGTACAGCCAGAGCTTCACGGGCACGGCCTTCTCCCCGTTGCTCCCCAGCCTCTGGGGGAGGCTGGAATAGACCCTCAGGGCCTCTTCATAGGTTGTCGGGTTGCTCTCGAGCGCAAAGTCCCCGTAGAAGCTGCAGCTGAAGCTGCCGGCCACGTCCTTGCCCCGGGCATCCCGCTGGCCCGAGATGCCTCCTTCCCCGGCCACGGCCGCCGTGGGGATCTTCATGACCATGGCGTGCAGCTTGGCCTGGACGTCCTGCACGCTCTCCACGGAAGAGGACATCTGGTCGAAGACGAAGAAGGCGTGGGCGCCGTACAGGATGCCCGTCACCACGTGGGTGGCCACGCTCTGCTCAAACACCTCCGGGTAGCTGACGTGCTGCCGCCCGATCTGGCTCATGGTCAGCTGCTTGAAGTGGGTGCTGGCCGAGTACTTGAGCGTCACGCGGGCCTGGCGCTGCGACCGCTGCCTGTCGTTGAGGAACTTGGCCGAGCCCTCCACCCGGACCAGGCTGCCCAGGAAGCTGGCCTTGAGCGAGGACGAGAGGCTGAAGGCGCCGGCCTTGTTGGCGAGCGTGTCGAACGCAATGACCTGCGTCTCCGTGTTGGGCTGCACTCGCATATCGATGTTCTTCGCGAGGGTCCCCGGGTCCCACAGAGTGATGCCTGGAGGGAGCAGGGGCCCTTCAGCCACACGTGTGGCGGGGAGGCTGCCGGGCGGCCGCGCTCGGCCCTGCACGGTCCCTCCCCGAGCTGCCCGCGGGCCGCTTCATTTCCACGCCCAAACCCAGACATGCAGGCACAGCGGGCGCCTCTGGCGGGTGGCAGGGCCTCATGCAGCAGGTCCCGCGATGCCCGCCCGGCCCTAGCGGGGTAGTTCTGCTACCCACGGGAAACCTTTTCCGGGCGGATCTAAGGGTCAAGGGGGAATCTGTGGGCACCAGGCTATCCCCAGCTTATGAAGCCCCCGTAATGCTCTGCTTACTCATAGGTAGGGAGCAGGTCTCATTCCCAGCTTCTCTCCTGATGGAAAAGAGGAAGCTTCCCAAACCACAAACGGGTGAAAATTGTGGTGCACAAGGTCTGCCCCCATGGCCCTCACCCGGAAGCTTCTTGCCTCTGAAGGGGGGAAGGGGCGCCCAATCTGCCCTTGTGAGCCCCACGCCACCACGCTCGCTGGAACCCCCCCCCCGGGGGCACATTTACCTGGGAGCAGGAAGTCGCTCCGGCAGTCGTAGAGCATTCCCAGCTGGAAGGGGCGGCCGAGAGCGGCCATCTCGAGCACCTGCTCGGACACGTGCATCGCAGCCCCCGCTGGGGCTCACCTGCAAGGAGAGAGGCGGGGAGGCCTGCCGGCTGAGCCAGGGAGGAAGCGCGGCAGGCCACGCGGGGGGGGGCAGACCTGGGGGAGCACCGGCGGCAGGGGCTCGGCCTGCCCCCTTCCAGGCACGGCTTGTCCTGGCGCATCCACGCTTGGCCGCAGCACTGGATCGTCCGGGGCGGGGGGGGGGAGAAGCGAGCGGGGCAATTTCAAAGGAAGGGCGCAGTTTCCATCGAAGCACGAGAGGAAAGCAAGTCAGGGGTGACGGTGTGGGGACTCCAGTCACGGGAATGCGGACGGGGACGAGCTCAAGTTCCAGGAAACCCCGGGAATAAACCCGGCTGGCTGGGTGTGGATTGGCTGGCAAGAGAGGCCAGACAGCCTGGCCGGCGGCTGAGCACTGGGCCGCCCGGCTCCACATGAGCACGGTTCCCACAGCAGCCGCGGGCCTGCCCCACAGCCCCCCTTTCCCTGGGGCTGGGAAGGCCCCGCTGCAGCAGAGCCGACAGAGGGATCCCGCAGGTGGCCAATGGCAAGGCCAGGGAGAGCCGCGCGAGGCAGGCCCATGGTCCCCGCCGGAGCATCTGCAGGCCCCTGGGACCGTGGGTGCCGTGTCCGGGAGCCCCTCCCTCCAGCAGCTTCCTGGAGGAAGGCCTCCCCGCGGCCCCGAGTCCCCGGCAGCCCAGCCTCCTGCCTACCTGGGCTTTGCAACGACGAGTCTCTGGCGCCCGGGCCCCAGACGGAGTGCAGACCGCGCCGGGAGTCCCAGGGAAGCCGACCCACGCTGGGTGCAGTCCCCTCTGCATGCGCCGGAGCTCCACTGCGGCCCCTGAGCGCCCACCGCCTCGTTCTGGGCGCGCTGCGAGGCACCGAGCTTGGCACTTGCCTCACCCGCACGGGCCGGCCGGCTGCTCCCGCCTGATAAGGCCCGGCCCTCCCAAACACCCCCACCGGTGCTCCGCCTGCCGCTGCCTTCCAGTGATTCCTCCCCGCTTCGCAGAAGGGCGGCAGGACGGAATTATGCTTAGGCCGCTGCTTTTGTCGCTACGTCGAACCCCCCGTTGGTCGACGCTCCCGCGGAGCCACCCGGGCTGCACCAGGACGACCCCCGGGGATCCCGCGCATCGTCCCGGGCCACAAAAGGTGCTTAGGAAGCGCAGGCCCCGAGTCGCGGGCCCCCATCTGGCATCGGCTCCGGCGGGAATGGGCGCACTGCCTCTGGTGCCGCAGCCCCTCGGTGGCCGCCCCCTCCAGGAATGTGGCCGTCCGTCCAGGCTCCCGGGGCCACGCAGAGAAAGCAGAGGCCAGCAAAGCGGCTCCGTCCTGGGGCTGTCCTGCCTTCAGCCCCTGTGGCCCCAACCCGCCCCCCCCCCGCCCCCCGCATGCAAATGGGTGAAACAAAAGGCATCTCCCGTCCAGGGTGCAGAAAGTACTAAAACAGGGGCCGTGGCCACAACTGCGGAGCAGGGACTCCGGACCCAGAAGGATCTGGACAGACTGTGGAAGTGGGCGGGAGACAACAGGATGGCGTTCAGTGTGGAGAAGTGCAAGGCCTTGCGCTTGGGCCATAGGGATGGGCGTCATGGGTACAGGTCAGGGGACAAGTGGCTGGAGAGCAGCACTTGCGAAAGGGATCTTGAAGTACTTCTGGATGGTTAGGACCGCCAGGGTATGGGATGGGCTTCCACAGAGCCCTCTGGTGCGGGTGTTCAAGGATAGGCTGGGCACGCACATGGCTGGCCTGTCATGAGCAGAGCTGGCTGTAGTTGGGGGTCAGACTAGATGGCCCGGGAGGCCCCTCCGGCTCACTCGGTCTGTTTCTCAGTGCCCCCCTGCCCTCACAGAGGAAGAGGCGAGGGGGCTCCGTGCCGGCCGGCCGGCATGCTGGGCTTGTGGCTCTTCTCCCAGGAGGTGGCGGGTGCCTAGCGTGGTGCCGTCCTCCGCGGGACCCCTCCGAGGCTCCCCAAGCAAGTTCTCTCCCGCTTTCTCCTCCGCAGCCAGCGCACATCCTTCACACATCGGGATTTCCCAGCCCAATTCTTCCTCTTGCCTGCTTTTGTGTCACGGCATGAAACCGCAAGTGGGTGCCGGGCCCAGTGCAGCTGCAGAGACACGTGGATTCTCCCGTTTCTAGAAGCTGCCCAAAATTAGCTCGGCGGCCCCGGAGGATGACGCCGGCAGCGGTGCGTGAAGCCCCTGCAATCTGGCACGGAGGGGGACGAGAAGGGGCGCTGGAAGCCATTCCTCTTGCGAAGCCACGAATCGGGGAACCGGCCGGTAGAGAAGCCAGCCGGCCTCGTTGAGGCAGACGCCGCCCGGGGCAGAGGGCCTGGCCAAGCCCGCAGCTCCCTGCCAGGAACAGTGAACTGGGCTTATTTATGATTTCTGTGCACGCGGCACAATACCTGAGCTGACCGAGCGCGCAGAGCAGAGCAGAGCAGATCACTGAAACCAGACGCACCCCCTCCCAGCTTGACCTGAGCTTGGGCCGTGTGCCTCCGTTATCAGACTTCCCCTTCTGCACGTTGTCTTCCCTCCGGTTGCCTCCGTCCTTCAACTGCTCAAATTCCTCGCTGCAGAAGCTGTTTGCTTTGTCACCTTGAGTGCAGAATCACGAGCAGACGCTTTGCACTGCAAAGCTCAAAAATTCTCACTTCTCAAAGGCAGAGCGCCCTGGATCCCAGAACCTGCCCCGGGTCCCCAGCCTGCTCTCCGGCCACTGCGTCCGGTTGCCCCTTTGTCGAGTGCAAAGGCTGGGGGGGGGGGGGACCCTGGAAGATGAACGCATTCAAAGGAGCCAATCTTCTTTCCACAAGAACCTGGAAAAAGCAGCCCTGGAAGCTGCGGGTTAAGGGGCTCGAGCGGAGGAGGACCCAGGAACAGGAGCCTCTGGAATGGGAGGCAAGCGGGAGCCGGCCGGGTGAGGCAGGGCAGGATCCGTCCCTGAGCCAGCTGGCCACGTCCCGCCTTGAGGGAGGGCCAGGAGCAGCCTGGCCGCAGCATCTTCCTCCTCATCTCCGTGCAGAGAAGGGAGAGCTTTTCGCCCTCCCGTGACCTCCGGGCAGCTGATTTCGGAGTTGCAGCTTTTCACTTCTGCACCCCCTAGACTGCTTTGGAAATTAATTCTGAGACCACCCACCGAAGGAGCAACGCAATGACGAGGCGCAGAGAACAAACGGCAAGTCGCAGGGGCGCAGGAGGGGCTGCTGCCCGCTTCCGCTGGCGGGTTCCCGGGCAGCCGGTCGGCCGCCGGACGGGCAGAATGCTGGACCCCCCCAATCCTGCAGGCCTCCTCTTACATCCTGCGCCCCCCCCCCCCCCCCGGCCCCCGCCTCGCCCCCCGCGGGGGCCTTCCCGCCTCTCCCGGGTCCGGCTCCCGCCTCCGTTTGGGGCCGGCCCCGTGCCGGCTCTGCCTCCTCAGCCAAGGCCTCGCCGAGGGCCCCGCACACGCCTCGCCCGCCAGGCCCATTCCCACAACCCGTGGTCTCGGCGCTGGGCTCCGGAGGCGCGGCTTCCCACACGGAGCCCCCCGTCCCAGGACACACGCACCAATGGTGGGGCCGTGTGGGGCAGGGCAAGACCAGGCTGGGGGCTCGTCCTGGGGCTGCGCACGCACCAGGTTCCGCGGGAGCCTTGGCCAGCTGGCCGGGCGCATGCCTAGGCGGCCACAGGGAGAGCCCCACTTCGCCTCTGCCTGGGCCCAGCACCCCGTCCCAGGCGGCAGCTCTGCCCTCCGGGAGGAGGAGAGGCCGGCCGGCCGCGGGCCACGCTCTCGGGTGAGCCCTCCCTTTGTGGGTCCAGGCGGGAGACGCGGCGGCTCCCTTGCCCCCGTGGCAGATCGACAGACCAGGCTGGGGCCACGAGCCCATCGCGCTCAGTGGCCGCAACAGGTCCGCCTTTCCCAAAGCCTTCCCTGCACCTTTGGAGGATTTCAGCTATTCCAGCAACTCCGCGTTACACAGCAGTTCCTGGGGAACGCAGCTGCGGGTGGGTGTGCTCGGTCAGCCCTCGCTCGTGCAATTTGCACCCCCATTTGCTCACAGGGCAGCCAATGCTCCGGCTGTTCTGCAAACCCGCTCACCTCCCCGCCGCCTGACTCACCTGGGTGCACCTTCCCAGCTCTGCTCCGGGGAGCAGCTGTTCCAGGCACAACATTTTAAACATTTGATCGATCCAGCATGTTGGTCTTCAGGCAGCAACACCTGTCCATCAGGATCCCTAAAAACAACACCAGCACCCCTTTAACCAGGGAAAATCGTTTCAGCAAAGGATTCCAGCTGAATCTGCTACATCCACCCATGGGAACAAAGGAAACCATACCGTGTCTTTCCTGAAAAGTACACACGGCAATAGCTCAAGATAAAACGTTCTTGGGAAAAGCAGCTTCTTTCACTTCTCAACTTGCTCCGTAAGATTTAGCTTCCTCTTATCCAGCCTGGGGAGATCTGGAACTTTGTAGAATAATAAAAACACTCTCCAGGTCACCTTTAAGGCCCTTTTCCGTCTTCCCGGATGAAGCGATGGCCACCCATAAGGCAGGATTCAGAGGCCCCATAAGGGGGCAGCTGGGGCTGGACAGCCATGCCCCCCCCCCCCCCCCCGGCAGGACTTTCCCAGTCGAGCGTTATTTCACCCCGAATTACATCCCCACATGCCCAGTCTCCATTCTTAAAAAGACGCCCTTCCGATCGCAGCGCGAGTAAAATCCGGCGCGGCTGCTCCCCCGGGCCCGAGCGGTGGGCTGTCCAGCAGCAGATGGGTGGGGGGGTCAAAAGAACATGCCGGGCCCAGGAAAGCACTAGAGGCAGCCGGGCCCATGGGTGGGGGGGCGGGCTCAGGGGTGCCCGCCGGGCCTCCGCTGCAAGGGTCAGACCCGGCGACCGGCAGCACCTGGGGAACACGGCAGCCATGGGGCGAGCGGGGCCCCCCGCGAGGAGAGCCCCACAGCCCCGGCCCCTGGAGGAGGGAGGGGGCGGCAGGGCTAGCACAGCCGGCCCCCAGAGCTTGCTGAACTGCAATTCCCATCGCCCCTGGGCAGCAGCTGTGGGCGGGGCAGATGGGAGCTCAGCCCCACGCCCTCCTCAGACGCTCCCTCCCACTGGCCATCCGGCTGATCAACTGAAGGGACGGCGACCTTCACAGGCGCTGGAACCCGGAGCTGCGTTCCCGGCCAGTTCCCGTTACGTCCAGGAGCCGTTAGCCTCCGAGCTCCTCCGGGACGGGACGACTGCGCTGGAGAAACGCGGGTCCCCGCGGCGGCCGTGCCCCTGCAGGGGGCAGAGGCAGCGCGGCCGCCCTCTCTCGAGGGGACCCCGTGGGGCACCAGCCCCCTTTCCCAGCCCAGCCGGGACCTCCGCCTTGTCCGCCAGACCTCAGAGCCAGCGCACCCTCGGGGCGAGCCCAGCGCCCGCCTGGCCGCTCAGCCCCGGCCCCTCCGGCACGGCAGCTTCCCGACCGGCTTAACGGGAGCACTGCGCGGGAAATACAGGCCCGTTCTTCTGCCGCTCACGCATCCTTCCCGTTATCCGGCGCATCAACAACGGGAAGAGGTTCCTCGCTGCCAGAGCAACAGGGCAGTGGGACCAGCCGCCCGGAGAGGTGGGGGCTCTCCCACACCGGGGACATTGAAGGTGCAGCTGGACAGCAGGGGGGTGGACCTGATGGCCTTCGTGGGCCCTTCCAGCTCGAGTATTCTGTGATTCCACAATATGTTTCTATTTCTTTTGGCGTCTCATGGTCAACCCTCGTTCATAACGTTTGATTTAAAGCTGTAAAAACACTGCGCCGCTGACACGTTCCACCCCACTGGAGTTTCAATTTATTAAAACCTAATCTGGACTTTAAACTAGGGCCGCACCTTCTTATCCTAGTCAACACCCCTCCTCTCCCCCCACCCCGCAAAACCGCTGGCTCAGCAACAGCCCCGGGCACCGTCCCCGCCAGCCTGGCACCAGTCACCAAGAGCCTGGAAACCGGCAGGGGGCCCGGCCAGCGCCCCCGCTCACAGCAGCCGGGAAAGCCGGGGGAGCGCCCGTCCACGGCGCCCTGCAGGATGGGGCCACGCGCCAGAGGCCCGCCGGAGAGCTCGCTTCAGGGTCCGCGGCACGGGAGCCCCTCTGACGTCGCACCAGGCCGGCCGCTGTGGTTCTTCGCTCCGGGGAGTGTGGGCGGCTGCCAGGCACGGTCCTGGCACGCCGCCCATCAGCTCTGCGGGCGGGAAGGTCCTGTGGCGCCCGTCTCGGGGCCCCCCGACAGTCCGTCTGGGCAGCAGCCCTCCCTGGCCGGCCGGCCCCCAGGCCGCGCTACGGGTCCGCCTCCCCCCGCCCCACGTCTTGGTAGCCCAGGGTCTCCAGGGGCACGGGCAGCGGGGAGCAGGAGAGCAGCAGCGGGTGGACGGGCAGGAAGGGGCTCACGTCCTGGCCGCCGTCCCCGTAGCAGGGCAGCAGGCGGGGCCCGGGGTGGGCGGCCTGGTGCGCCTTTAGCTCCTTGCGCTGGCTGAAGACGGCCCCGCACTCCGTGCAGGGGTACACGCGCTCCACCGTGTGGGTCAGGTGGTGGGTCCGGAGGTTGCCCTTGTACTTGAAGGTCTTGCCACACTCCAGGCAGGCGAAGGGCCGCTCGCCCGTGTGGATGCGCCGGTGCTTCATCAGCGTGGTCTTGAGGTTGAAGGTCTTGCCGCAGTCGGCGCAGGCGAAGGGCCGCTCGCCGGTGTGGATGCGCTGGTGCGTGATGAGGGTGCCCTTGCGGTTGAAGGCCTTGCCGCACTCCAGGCAGGAGAAGGGCTTCTCGCCTGTGTGGATGCGCCGGTGCTTGATCAGCTCCCCGTTGTGGCTGAAGCTCTTGCCGCAGTCGGCGCAGGCGAAGGGCCGCTCGCCGGTGTGGATGCGCTGGTGCCGGGTGAGGTCGCCGTTGCGGCTGAAGCTCTTCCCACACTCGGAGCAGCCGAAGGGCCGGTCGCCCACGTGGATCTTCTGGTGCAGGATGAAGGTCTTCTTGGCGCAGAAGCCCTTCCCGCACTCGCCGCAGACGAAGGGCCGCTCGCCCCGGTGGATCTTCTGGTGCGTGATGAAGTTGGCCTTGCGGTTGAAGGCCTTGCCGCACTCCTCGCAGGAGAAGGGCTTCTCGCCCGTGTGGATGCGCTGGTGCAGCACGAAGGTCTGCTTGGAGCAGAAGCTCTTGCCGCAGACGGTGCACTCGAAGGGCTTCTCGCCTGTGTGGATGCGCAGGTGGCGCATCAGGTCCCCCTTCTGGCTGAAGCTCTTCCCGCACTCGGCGCAGGGGAATGGCTTCTCCCCGGTGTGCACCCGCAGGTGGGTGATCAGGTTGCCCCGGTGCTGGAAGCGCTTCCCGCACACGCTGCAGGCGAAGGGCCGCTCCGCCGGGTGGCTCCGGGGGCGCTTGGCCTCGGCCAGGCCGGGGGGCAGCGGGGGCAACTTCTCGTCGGGTCCCCCAGACCCCCCGGGGGCGGGCGGCCTCCTCTCGGGGACCAGCGCCGTGGCCTTTGGGGGGCCGGGGCCGCCCTTGTGCATCCACTGGCTGGGGCCACTTCTGCTCCGGGGGGACCCCGGGGCTGGGGCCGCTGCCCCCCCCACTCTGCGGCGATGGCCGCGGGCCCATCGCTGCTCCTTCGGCAGCCCCCAGGGGGCCCACGCTGGGCTGCGGGCGGCCACCTGCCGGAGAGCAAGCAGAGAAGAGACAGGTGTCGGAAGTGCAGGTCCGGACAGGCCAGGAGCCGGGCATTCAGCTGGCCCAAACCTGGTTCCTCACAGCCAGCGAGAGGACCTTGGAAGGAGTGCAGCTCACAAGCGAAGAGGTGCCAGCGGCGCGATGTGGCTGCCGAAGGGACCTGTGCTGCTGCCAGCTGCACGAAGGGACGCCTCACGCCCGAGTCCCGCAAAGGAGGGAGCAAGGGCGACCCGGAGGCTGGAGGCAAAGCCCTGTGAGGAGAGGTGAGAGCAGCTGGGCCTGCTCAGCCTCAGAAGAGAAGACCGAGGGGGGGGAGGCGAGCGCTCGTGAAAGGCTGCCCCAGAGAGCGGGGCCGGGATGTCTCCTCGGTCGCCCCAGAGTGCAGGGCACAGAATAACACCCTCAAGTGACAGGACGCAGGTCCCGGCTGGACAGCAGGAAGCTCCCGACTGCCCGAGCAGCACAGCAACAGGACCCACGGCCTGGGGAGGTGGGGGGCCTCCCGCCCTGGCAGCGCTCAGGGCACCGCCGGGCAGCCCCGAGAGGGAGGTTTCCGCTTGGGGCCGCGCGCTGAGCCGAGGGCCCTCTGCCCCGTCCGCCTGGCGCTTCTGGGATCCAAGGAGCATCACGAGCTGGTCAAGCGGCTGAGCGGGCCGCGTGCGCAACCAGGAAGCGAAGTCCGAGGAGTCACGCCCCCACCGGACGGCCTCCCCGCAGGGCGGCAGCACCCAGCGTGGCCGCCTCTGCCACGGGGGGACGTGTCCCGAGCGGGGCGGAGGCCAGCCTGCCCCTTCGCAGGCTTCGGGAAACAGCTTCCCAGGGGCAGCACGGGGCGAGGCTCCCCCGGAAGCCAGCACCGCCCACACCCCAGTCCCGCTTTGTGTGCGCCGTGGCGCCCGGCGGGCCGGCAAGCCGATCCCGGAAGATGCGCTGGGCCCCCTCGGCCCTCCTGGGCGCTCCCACCCCTCCCGCCACGGGAGAAGCGGGTGCCCGGAGGCTGCAGGCGGCCCGCAAAGCCCCCACTGCACACGCCCACCCCCTCCCGCCGTCAACTCTGCCTGCAACGGGAGAAGCGCAGAACTGACCTGCGGGAAGGGGGCCCGGGGCCTCAGTCCCCACCGGGCCGGGGGGCCCCCCGAAGCCCAGCTCCTCCTCCTCATCCTCTGGCTCCATCTTCACTATCACGTCAGGCCTGGCATCGGCTGTGGGGGGGGGAGGAGGGGGTCACGCTGCGCATGGACCCCGGAGGCGGTGGTGGGATTCAGCACAGGGAAAGGCCCCAGGATTTCCAGGAGGCCAGCTCGGCCGGTCGGCTGCAGGCGGCCAAGAGCAGCGGCCGGGGAAGTTGACGGCCTGGGAGTGGGGAGGGGCCATGGGGGGCACGACCTGAGCACACAAACAGGCCGTGGGGCTGAGGCGCCCTGTGAGGCTCGCCTCGACGGCCAGAACCTGGCTCAGCCTGCAGGCCGAAGGCCTGGCCCACGGCCCCAGGAGGCCAGCCGCTTCCGCAGGCCCGAGGGCAGAGCCGGCGGGGGGGGACGGGGACAGGGCCGTACTCACAGGAGTCCGTGCCGTCGCCGGAGTCGCCGTCGCTGCACTCCCCGGGGCTGTCCTCGTAGGAGTCATCCTCTGGCTCCATCTTGATCTTGATCGCCATCTCTGGCTCGACGCCTGGAGGACCCAAAGCCACGTGCACCCGGGCGTGAGCCCCCTTGTGGTTCCCCCTCCCAGGAAAAGCCTCCCTCCGCAGCCCCCGGCGCCCCTCCCGGTGAAGGCACCTCCGTGGGGGCAGCCCCTCTCAGCCTGGCCTCTGCGCACCGTGCTGAGGACTCCCTCTTGCACGGGTCCCCGGGAAAGGGGCCCCAGCAGAGAGGAAGCGGGGAGGCCGGAGCGGAGACGCCCCCGCCCCCGCGCCCCTCCCTCCCCCGGAGGAGAAGCGGCTCCGCGTCACACCTGCCGTGGGGTCCGAGGGCGCCTCCGCCGGGTCTCCCGGGCATTCGATGCACAGCTCCTCCTCCGGCTCCACTTTCACCACGATCACGTGTCCCGGAGCAGCCCAGCCTGCGGCCAGAGGGACGAAGAGAGCGGCAGCTGGACCGGCGGCACCAGAGAAGGGCCCTGCCCGGCTGCGCTCGCCGGCCACCCGCCCCAGAGGCCGGAGCAGGCGGGCCAGGGCGGTCCTCCAGCACGACACCCGCTAGGCAGCCTCTCGCCATGCTCCACCGCCGGCGTGGCCGGCCCGGGAAAGGCCTCGCTCTCCCTCCCGCTGGCCGGCCCGGCCACCCGGCGGATGGCCCACGGGTCCTGGAGGGCAGGCTCGGAGAAAGCGGGCCGTGCGGTGCAGCGGAGAAGGGGGGCTGCACTCCCCCGAGGCACTCCGGAGGGAAAGGGAGGGCAGGCCTGGCGGCGGTGGGAGGCAGTGTGGGGAGCAGCGCCTCCACTCGCCCCCCGCCCCCGTGCAGGAGGCCGCCAGTCCGGGCCGGGGCAGGAAGCGCACGTGAGACCCGACCCGCAGCAGGCGAGGGGCAACCCCAGCGCCTCCCTCTCCCCGGCCAGACCACGAGCGGACGGAATCGCAGGGCAGCTCAGGCAGGACGGCCCCCTTGCCAGGCGCGCCCCCCCCAGCACCACGGGAGGGCTGTGCGGGCCATGCACGCGGGGCAGCGCCAAAGGGGGCCCGTGTCCCCCAAGCCCAGCACGGCCAGGCAGTCCCGCTGGAGGGCGGCCCGTGCCGGAGACGCGGCCAGGCAGCGCCTCCCGAGCCGGAGCCAGGGCACGGGCAGCGAGGGGCGCAGGCGAGGCGCCACGCACACTGCCCGGCCCCACGAGGCCCGAGGAGGCGGCGCCACCCGTCTCCTGCGCGTGGGAAGCCGGCTGGTACCCACCTGGGCCGGAGGGCTCCGCGGCCTCGGCCTCCATCAGCTCTCCCGGGAGCTGCTCCACGCAGCCTCCCTCTCACGCCTCTGCGACGGCCGGCCGAAGCGCTACATCCAGGCGACCTGCCCGGGGGAAGAGGCATGTGCCGCGGCGAGTGAGAGGGCGCCCGCAACGGGCCACGCTCCGCGGGGCATGGCAGGGAAGCACATCGCGGAACACCAGCGCGGGAGGCAGCCCCCGCTCGGTGCCGGACCCCCGGCTGAACCCTCCCGGACGGGCGGCGGCTCAACGGCCCCTCGGATGCCTGCAGGCCGGGCCCCACTGCCGTGCCGCTCTGACATTCGGGGCCACCCGGCCAGCTCCCTGGACCCGAGCCGGTCGTTCTGTGCCCGGCCCTCCTCTGGGTGGAAGCCCCGAGGCCCAGCAGAGGCTCCCCGGCTCCCCTCCGGCTTCTCTTCCGAGGCTGGGCGTGCCAGCGCCTTCCCGCTCCGGGGCGTTGCGGCCCCCCTTCGCCCGGGACCGCAACTGCCGTTGTCGCGCATTTTTGCGGCATTGGCTAACGAGGGGCAGCACAGAGCAGCTTTCGACAGATGGGAGCCCCCTTGTGCTCACGCATCTGGAACGCTCCCCACGGCAGCACGTGCTTCAGGAAGGCCGAGCCCGAACAAGCCCGACCTCGGCTCTGGTCCGTGGGCCATGCGCAGACCTGCGGCGCACTCGTGGCGAGGGGTCCTGTGCGGGAGTTACTGCACCTGGATCCCCCCCCCCGGCGCCAAAAGGCCTTGGCCAGCCTCTCTGCACCTCCGGAGATGCAGGAAGTCAGGCGCAGCACAGAAGTGGTTGGACAGCCTAGAAATACCCCAAACCAACCGGCGGAGAGCGACTGGGCCAGCCTCGGGCCAACACTCACCGGCCGGGGGGGCAGACAGAAGCGCCACCCGCCACGCGGGAACGTCACGCCAGCGGCCTGGAGCGGCCCGACTGCCGCTCTCGTGGTGCTGGGGCGCCATGGCGCAAAGCCGCGCCAGGCACGGTCCTCGCCGCCGCACAGGCCCTCGAGGGACACGCCGGTGCCGCAAGGGGGGCCCCGTCAGCTCAGCGCCCGGTAATCCGCTTTCTCTCATCGGCGAGTCTGCAGAGGGCCATGCCTGTGAGGGAGAGGCAATCACGGAGCGATCTCTCGGGAGGTGTGTGGGCACGGGGTGGGGAGAACCGGCAGGACTCCCCGCACTGAGCCAGCTGCCCCTCTCCCCTCGACTGGCGACTGCGGCCTGCGGCCTGGGGGCTGTGTCGCCCCCTCCATGTCTGGGTTTGTGCTGCTGTTGGGCGGCTCCGCACAGGCTGGACTCGCCAGGACACCCAGCAGGACGCTCAGAAGCCAAAGAGCGTCACGGCGGAGGGCCACGCGTTGGAGGTCAGTTGCCAACCACCGATCAACGACCAGACATTTAAAATTCCACTGAAGGTACCTGTGGCTCGCACGTTTAAAAGGAGCCCGTTAAGGGGGATTATCCGCTCAGCCCCACATACTTCCTGCAACACGGCCTGGGCTTGGGGCTTGCCAACTCCCTTTGGCGGCAACAGAGGCGTTGGCACAGATCGTTAACGAGGCGTGCTAATTTCATGTGCAAGCAGCAACGGGAAGGCACACAACTGAAGACTGCGGTGCGTGTGAGGGGGGGCTGAGAAACGGGCAGGTGGCATCAAAAATGGGACTCCCCACTCTCACGCGACTCTGACCTCAGCAGCAAAAGCATGCCCTCTTTATGTGCCCCCTCCCGGCCCCCACAAAGCCCCCTTTGCCCTGGGAGGCCCTGCTCTCTCATGCGCAGGCGATGCACTCCAGCTCTCCAACGCAGGCGTTCTCGGAGCAGCACCGGAGTATAATCCAGCTCTGAGAGACCTCCAGGGTGCAGGAATCGGGCCCTTCAGAAGCACCACAGCGACAGAAACAGAGGCCATCACCCATGGCCTAGTCAAGCGGGACCGGGATGCACCTTCTTCCAGGCATCGGGCAGGAAAAGCCAAAAGGAATCTGGCACGGGGGGGGGGGGGGGGGGGTGCCCCTGGGGCCCAGGGGGGGGCATTTTTTTTTCCCCCC